ACTTGATGGACTTTTAGTGGATGAATTTTTACCAGGTAAATTTTTATCAAGTAAATTTTTACTAAATGAATTTTTACTTGATGAAGCGACCGCATTTTTAATAGCAACTAAATTTTTTCTAGATGTTGCGAACGAAATTTCGTTCTTATCGTTCTTCTTATCATTCTTTTTACCATTATCATTCTTCTTATCATTCTTTTTGACATTATCATTCTTCTTATCAATCGTCATTCCCCAATCTTCAGGTTTAAAAATTTCATCAAAATTAATTTTGGATATCGGATAATTTTCATAAAATAATTTATGAAGTTCAGTTGTCGTTGAATATCGTTTTTCTGATGTAAGGGGAATAAAAGTTAATGCATTATATCTTCTTTTATTATTGTGATTGTTATTTTTATTTTTATTGTTATTTGTTCTTGATTTACGATTTTGTTCTAAATTTGATCGTGAATATTCTATTCTTCTTCCATTATCGTTAACGTTAATTTCATTAAAATCGTTATTTTGTTTATTATTATTATTAATCATTGATTTGGAGGTCGAAAAATTTTTCCACTTTCTGTTCGTGAAAAGATCTTAGTTTTGATATTCTACTTTCACTTTTTCCCATTAATCTATTTAAATTGCTGTTAATTATTAAATTGCTGTAATTAGTGTTAAATCTTGAATTATTTTTAGTTTTTGAATTAGTTTTAGTTTTTGAATTGTTGTTAGTTTTTAAATTGTTGCTGTTATTGTTGTTGTTGTTGGTTTTCAAATTGTTGTTGTTGTTGTTGTTATTGATTATCATGTTATTGTTGATATCATTATTCAATACTGATGAAGATCTATTACGTGATATATTTTGACAATCTATACAATACCATTTTTCTCTAATAAAATTATCACTAATTTGAGGTTCATGACAATTTTGATGATATCCTTCATTACAATTAATGCATACACAAATAAAATTATATTGATTATCCGATTTACCATCGCAAACACAACAAGAAATTAATGAAGAATTATTTTTAAATTTTCTTTGTCTTTTCTTTTTATTATTAAATTTTAATGGGTTTATAATTTCATCGTCTTCTTCATCTGTTGTTTCTGATAATGTTTCTGAGATTGAATCCGAAATTACTTCAGTTAATGCATCCGAAAGGACTTCTGATAATGATTCTTCGAGCATCTCATCATCAATGCTATTACCATTATCTCCCATCACTGTACTAACGGAATCGTCTGTTATAGTACTTGATGATAAATTTGATGAATCAGATTCATTCCCTCCTTCTCCATCTTCTTTACTGCCTCCTTCTCCTCCTGAAACTGAAGAAGAAAAAGAACTGCTTCTTAAATTGTGTCGCTTGCCTTTTTTTCTACGTTTAAATTTTTTGGAAATAAAAGAATGATATTCTGTTGAATCAATAGATGATGATGGTGGTGATGGTGGCGATGATGATGATGATGATGATGGTGATGATGATGATGAAATAGAATAATAATTGTGATCATCGTATTCAGACCATTTTCCACTTTTGGAAGAATTGGTTTCAGAAATATTTTGATGATTATTATAGATATTATGGTGATGATGATTAATATTATCATCATTATGACTATATTCACTTAAACGGGAGGATGATGCCGACGAATGTGAACACCAATAATCTTCATTCTATATTAATTAAATATAATAATAATAATAATAATAGTAATAAAAAAGAGTTACTTTTTGAAAAACGAAAATGAATGCATTGTATATAA